CGCATGTATAAATTTTAAGGGCTGCAATCCTGCAGCTTGATCTGTAATACAAGATACAGGCACCAATTCTCAGTCTCCTTGACTTTTAACAGACAGAAAGGTCATCTGTGATAGCTAAGGGGTACTTGGCCTTAATACCAGCAAGCCACCCACTGAAAACAGTGGGAGTTTGGCCGGAATTAGGATTTTAGGATTTATCCCATAATGCCCTATAACACTTCCCACACAGTACTACCTGACAGCTTCTGAAAACTGGCAAAATGTGAAGGACGTGCCGACAACATCCAAGAGGAGGTTTCCAAGGATGTATTTTGTAACAATTGAATTCAACCAGTACATGTCTGCATACGCACATGTTCTCGCAATTCCACATTCACAGGGGTTTTAGCATGCTGATTTTAAAAGCACAGTGGCTAAAAAATACATCTCCAAAAGCTACTCAATGCCAAACAAACCACACTTTTAAAAGCCAAAAAAACCACAAAGCAGTTGCATCCAGGACATCACTGAACTTGTGCAATAATCCCCCACGTTTGGTTCCCTGCTGTTATCGGTGATTAGATAAGTAACACCAACAACAGACAGATGCTTTTCTGGAACCTCTTTCCAGCACCACCTCCCAAATCATCTTCTCCCACAGATACCTCCAGAACAGCCCTAGAATAACTACTCCCACCCCCAGCGTGACCTGGGACAAGGTGGATGGGTTTACAGCCAGGAAGCTTCGCGGTCCAAGAGCCAATTGCTGCCCACACGGTGCCTTTGCGCCCAGATCTGACAGCATGGATGCTCAGGAAACCAGTCTGCTGCTGGCTGATGGTCTTTCCCATCCCTGTTCCACACTCTTATCTGGTCAATATTTGCTTAGTTAAGTATATGCCAGAGTTGAACGTTTCCCCTGAGGGAAACATGGCTATCAGCCCTGTTCAACCCAATCTGACCTTTATCCTGTAGGGAGCCAAGCAACAGCCAGTTGATGTATTCCACGAGCCAAGAGCTTCATACAGTATCGCTGCTCTGAACTGGGGGTCTGGATCCTGCCCAAACTGAAGTCATCGATTTCACTGACAACAGCACAGGGTCTGCGGCATCTAATTCTTAAACGGATCCTTTATTTGGATCCCTGGAGGCAGCAGAGCCTTGCACATGACAGGATCAACACCTACAGTGCAAGTCAGATCGTATCCCTGTAAATAATCAATGCAGCAACTGGGACACAATATATAAGGGTTTGGTCCAGCCTCTTTAGCTATCACAGCAGCTCCCTGACAACAACCAACAGAAAAAAAACCCAAACAAAACAAAACAAAAAAGTTTAAAAGATAGCCAAAGGACAGTGGGTCTTTCAGGGGTTGAAATGTGACTCATTTTGGAGCAAGAGTCAAACTAAGCACACACGCTGCTGAAGAGAAGACAGGTTCCAATTTAAAAGCAGCACTTAGTTATCAAATGACAAGACGACTTCCACAGATTAGTTGGTATGCTTGCATTTTACCCTGAAACTAGTCATTTTTTAGGATGATCCAAATGCAGGAGAAGAAAAGAAGCCTGACTCAAAGAAAAAAGAAAAAAAGAGGGGAAAAAAAGAAAAAAGAAAAAAGAAAAAGAAAAAAGAAAAAAGGAAAAAGGGGGGGGAGGAAAAAAAGGGGGGCAGCAAAAAAAAATCCCATGGTTGTCATGTTTATGACTTACATTCTCTACACAGGAAATCTTCGGAGCAAGCAAAAGCCTGCCTGCCTTCTACTTCACAAACCCTCGATATGATAATCACATTTTTGAAGCATTGCCTTCTTGAATGATGCAAATTAAAAGGCATACGTAATTCTCTGACATATTACTGAAAACCACATACCAACACAAAATAGCAATTTATTGCATGCCAAGTCCATTAAACTATTACTTACAGCGTAATAGACAGTAGCCACACAGATACCACTGTCACCACTGAGCGGAAAACCTAGGAAATTCCACGTCCCTTGCCCCTGGAGTTTGAGTGAGAGAAGTTGAACTGCTCCTGCTTGGAGCAGGGTTTTGTCCTCCAGAAAGACTGCAGTATCTCAGCTAACACAGCAATTGTCCCGTAATTATCATGCACGCTTATAGTCAATAAAACAAAAGGGACCCTTAACTTCAAAAGTAATTTTTAAGGGAAAGCAACAGAAAGCTTTTCAAACGATGACTGTGAAAGGACAAAGAGAGGAGAGCGTGCATTTATATTGGTCAGTAAGGCACTCATCGCGACAACTGTGACTGAGGATGGTCATGGGAGACCAGGGTTCATAGGCCACACCAAAAGCGGTTTTATTTTCACAGAGGGAATGCAGTTGTCGAGCACTCAGAAAGGGTCCCAAATGAGAAGGCAGGCTGGCAGGCCAGAACAAGACACCCAGCTGGCTCCACAGCCTAGACAAAAGCTTGGTTCTCTGAAGCTTTTTATTTTCCCTTCCTCTTCCAGAGTTAAAATTGGGATGGTATCAGTTCCTCTTTCCCAAATGGAAAGCCCTCTGAGAGCAAACCAGATTTCGAAGCTTTCCAACAGCTACACAGACCATGCCGTCAGAGCTTGCTGCTTAACACGTACGTGTAAGTGTTCAGGGCATTCACAGGGTAGTCTTGGGATCAGAGCAGAGCTACAGTTGGATGTTCTCCAGGGGTATTTTAGGAGAACAGAATCAAATTGCCACACAAACATAATTGCCAAGTTTCAGTCTAATGTTACAGCAATTTGCTTGACACGTTTTTATCTCAGAGGATAGAATGGTGGAGTAATATTTTGTTGTTATTGTGTCCAAGTCCCCTAATGCAGCATTCATATCTTTGGTAAGGGACAGGATTCCTTCTCCTTCAAGTTCTGCTTTTGATAACAGAAAGCCTTACAAATCCTTTGTGCAACCTGGAAAAAAGATTTGGATAGACTGAGTTTAAGACAGTCAGTGAGAAAGATGCAAAGCAGTATTCTTAAATGACCTACTCCCAAAATCCACAAATTCGGAGCAGAGGATATTTGGTCCTCTGCTTTCTCTTCCAGGAGTCCATTCAGAAAGCCGGCCTGCAAGACATTTGCTGAGTATGTGGTTGCTGCATTACCTGATGCTTTCAATTCTTGCAGCCCATGCAGAGACAAATCATCTGGGAAACAAGATTTCCCTGCCTCCAACCCCACAGTATTTGAGAGGTCAATTCTGACCCCTTTAGAAAAGGCTGCCCAGAAAACATGTGCAAGATCATCACGTTTCTATGCTCCTGTCACCAAATCACTGTCCACCCAGCTCTTGCCCAGTGCAACTCTCCGTTTCTAAGCCTTGCAGGCATCTCGCAGCATCGCAGAGAATACACTCCGATGATCTGAGTGCATCAATATGCATTCGGACCATCTGTTAAACCCACAAGACATCCACCATCAGAAGATCCACAGAGTGGAGAGTCAGTGTTAAGCAGCGAGTACAATTTCCTCTTCACCATTTCTTTTAAAAGATATTTTGGTCCCAAGTCCCACAGAATTGGAATGTCACTTAAAGAGGACTTTTTGCTCACAGCGCCACATGAGATTTCAGGTTTCAGAGTAGAAGCTGAGCTATCGAAAAACCAAGTTGCTTATCCGTCTTGTTTCCATTATAGAGCAGGGAACTCAATCAGGCTCTTCAAGCTGGAGGAAAGCACCTTCTCCGCCAGACAAGGCTTCCTGAACGTAGAGTTAGAACCTGCCACTACCCGACAGACCTGACCGGGAAAAATCAACCCCTGCTCTTGATTTGTTCAAGGTGTTCATTTAAATCAAAGCAACCACCTCTAGGAACAAAGACTGAAAGAATATTTTTGCTTATAGTGTAAGAATCTAGTTTAGTAGAATGACTATTTGGTTTGTTAGACACTGCACTAGCATCTGAACTGTGCCTCTTCAAGACTTCAGAGCAAACAAATCAGTAAAGTTTTAATCTAGAAAGCAAGAAGATAAAAGAGATTTATTTAAAGAGATGACAGACCCATATACCAATTACAAGGGCCATGTCATTCTGTAACATTGTCCATAAGCATTGAGCTCAACCTTCAGAAGTCTGTCACCTGGATTATTATTTTTTAAAACATGAAAGGGCTGTATCCCAACACCGAGCTTCAAGCCTAAGAGCATTTCTTTCTGAAGATGATAGGCCACAGCAAAGATCAAGCTAAGGAGTGTGGAAAGTGGCTTCAGATCCATTTAGCAGATGTATGATTCCAAGCACCAGCTTGATAACTAAGTTGAGCATCCAGAGACACAGGAGGCACCAACTCTTAAGTCAGAGGAGGGACAAGTCCCAGTCTACAGTCACATGGAGGCATCAAAAATCCATTTTTTGCTCTCTCCTTTCTTGAGTCCCTGGAAGAAATACATGATTTCTGCTCTACTCCATTTTGCATGGGATTCCTTTTTAAGTACAAATTTCCCCTTTCCCCTTACTTTTTGCAACAATCTTCATGCAGGAAGATATATTCTAAAGAGAGCTTGAGTCTGTAAGAACTGCACCTTCCTACTCCACAAGTAAGACAAAGCGTTCCAAAGTCACACCCTGTGTAGTGACAGAAATAAAGATCTTACCAATTTCCTCAGAGCCCTGCAGTCTGTGAAAATCATGTAGTGATCAAGTCACAAACACCACTGACCCCATCAGCCTCATGGGCTCGGAGTGGTTTCTGAAGAGCAGGCCGCACTTCTGCGGGTGATCTCCTAGCCTTGAGCAAGAACACTGTTGGCCAGAGCTGTGACAATGCAAAAGTGACAGGCTAACGATAGCATCACTTGAGCAGAATCTGTCCCACAGGACAACAGTTACTGCTTATGGATCCCAAGAGAACTCCACTAGAGATACTAGTGGAAATATTTTTGTAGAAATCCACTTGCACACACAAAGGTGGAAATGGCACAAAGCTCTCGAACACGACTTTGCTTGCTCTTGTATTAGTTACGGAAAATCCACAGCAGCACAGCCTTTGGCATAAACATTAGCCGCACATGTACATACCTTGGGTTCCAGGCAGATTGACATGCCTGCCCGTGCTCCAAATACACCTCCGATGGCAGTGCAGACTGAGCTACGAAAGCAAGCACAGAGCCAGGTGACAGAGATTTCAATGTGATAGCACCATTTCAACAGAAGCTCGAGCGCAGCCCCAGTGTCTTCTAAAAATGAAAGGCTTCAGTAAGACAATTCATGCGATTAAAGGTACCCACAGCCTTAAGTCACTCGCTGGGTCACGATCCTGGTGATTCTAAGAATCTGTGTGCAGGCTGCTTACCCAGAAATTAACCTACTGCCTTGGAAAGCGTTGCTTAATTTAGAAGAGCGATTACTTACAGCACCTGCTGCTAGCCTCACAGCCTTTGATATGCCAGCTTCTCCAAAATTAATGCTGTCTTCTAAAATTATTTACATAAGCAATTAAGGAAAGAACTAAAAAAAGAGACTGCTAAATGTATAACATAACAATCAGCTGGGTTATCAGCAGCAATTGAAACTATAATTTCCAAAGCAAATAGCATGAGTCAAGGCAGTCTGAGCTGAAGTTGCACAGTCAGTCCTTGCGGCAGACTCACATCCTCGGCCAGGCATAACAGAAAACGCATTGCACAGGCTACACACACCAAATTGTGTACGCGCATGACACCACCACCCCAGGAGAAGCTCCACACAGCAGGAGGACCTTTGCAAAAGAGGTCTCCTGGCTTTAAAGCCACATTACCTGTAGGCTTTAAATCTAAGGCCAAACCCACAGTAGCTTTGTCATGCAAGTGTAGAGCCTTTTGCAGGAATTGAGTGCTGAGCTCAGTGGGCAAAGGAGGAAGAGAACAGATGAAAGGAGGACTGAGGAACAAGGCTCAATTCTCAAGGCCTTAGTCCTTCTCCAGAAGTTTCTGTTCACACCTACAGATGGGGGACTCAAAATAAGTCCATGGGCCCTGATGGGATGCACCCACAAGTGCTGAGGGAGCTGGCAGATGTCATTGCGAGGCCAGTCTTGATAATTTTTGATCAATGATGGTGACTGGGAGAAGTGCCTGTAGACTGGAGGAAAGCAAATGTCACTCCTAATCTTCAAGAAGGAGGACCCAGGGAACTACAGGCTGGTCAGCCTCACCTCAATCCCTAGGAACGTGATGGAGCAGCTAATTCTGGAAACCATTTCCAGGCACATTAAGGACAAGAAAATCATCAACAGTAGTCAGCATGGCTTCACCAAGGAGAAGCCATGCTTGACCAACTTGATAAACTTCTACAATGAAGTGACTGGCCTGGTAGACTAAGGGAGAGCAGTGGATATTGTCTACCTGGACTTCAGGAAGGTCTTCGACACTGTCTCCCCTAAGATCCTCATAGAGAAACTGTTGATGTACAGGCTGGGATGAGCAGACAGTGAGGTGGACTGAAAACTGGCTGAATGTCTGGGCTCAGAGGGTGGTGATCAGTGGCACAAAGTCTAGTTGGAGGCCAGTCACTGGAAGTGTACCCCAGGGGTCAGTACTGGGTCCAGTCCCGCTTAACATCTTCATTAATGATCTAGATGATGCGGCAGTGTACCCTCAGCCATTTTGCAAATGACACCAAACTGGGAGGAGTGACTGATACACCAGAGGGACCTTGACAAGCTGGAGAAATGGGCTGACAGGAACCTCATGAAATTCCACAAGGAGAAGTGCAAAGTCCTGCACCTGGACAGGAACAACCCCAAGCGCCAATACCTGCTGGCAGCCACCCAGATGGAAAGCAGCTTGGCAGAAGAGAACCTAGGGGTCCTGGCAGACACCAAGTTGAACACGAGCCAGCAATGGGCCCTTACTACAAAGATGGCGAATGGTATCTAGGGCTGCATTAGGCAAAGTATTGCCAGCAGGTCGAGGGAGGTGATCCTTCCCCTCTACTCAGCACTGGTGAGGCCACACCTGGAGTGCTGGGTCCAGTTCTGGGCTCTCCTGTGCAAGAGAGACATGGACATACTGGCGAGAGTCCAGCAAAGGGCCACAAAGATGCTGAAGGGACTGGAGCATCTCCTCTATGATGAAAGGTTGACAGAGCTGGGACGGTTCAGCCTAGAGAAGAGAAGGCTCAGGTGGGGATCTCATCAATGATTATAAATACCTGCAGGGAGGGTGCCAAGAGGATGGAGCCAGGCTCCTGTCAGTGGTGTCCAGTGCCAGGACCAGAACCAACAGGCACAAACTGAAACACAGGAGGGTCCCTCTGAACATCAGAAAACACTTTTTTTACTGTGAGGGTGACTGAGCACTGGCATAGGTTGCCCAGGGAGGTTGTGGAGTCTCCATCCTTGGAGATATTCAAAAGCCATCTGGAGACGGTCCTGGGCAACTGGCTCTGGGTGGCCCTGCTTGAGCACAGGGCATTGGACCAGATGACCTTCAGGAGTCCCTTCTAACCTCAACCAGTTTAATTCTGTGAAACGCGTACCTTAACATGTACAGGCATCAAGAAGAGCACTTCCAGTTGTTTCAAAAGGCAGCACAAATCTTTACCTTATTTGTAACTACCAAATGGATGTTTCTATTCTGTTTGAAAAACAAAGACATTTCAGTAGCGGTAACTGAGGTGTTGGATGCTTCCTTCCAGGGGAAGGAAGAGTTCAGAAGTGAGCTAATTGGCGATGTCAAGATTGGAGGCAGCCTGGGCTACAGTGATCACACACTGGTGGAGGTCACAGTCCTGAGGGATATGGGTCAGGCAAAGAGTAAAGTCAGGACCCTGAATTTTAGGAAAGCAAACTTCCAGCTGTCAAGGAACTAGTCAATAGGACCCCCTGGGAAACTGCCCTCAGGGACAAGGGAGCAGAACAGAGCTGGCAGATCTTTAAGGACGCTTTCCATAGAGCACAAGAGCTCTCCATCTCCAGGTGTAAGAAATCAGGAAAGGAAGGCAAGAGACTGGCACGAATGAGTCAAGACCTGCTGGTCAAACTAAAGGGCAAGAAGGAAATGCACAGGCAGTGGAAGCAGGGACCAGTATCCTGGGAAGAGTATAGGGACGCTGCCCAGTTGTGGAGGGATGGGGTCAGGAAGGCCAAGGCACGAATGGAGATGAATTTGGCAAGGGATGCAAAGAATAAGAAGAAGGGCTTCTACAGGTATGCCAGCCAGAAAATGAAGGTAAAAGAAAGCGTACCCCCCTATGAGCAAGACTGGCAAACTGGTAACAACGGACGAGGAGAAGGCTGAGGTACT